ATTACCTCATAAATCCCAAGCACCTTTCCTAGAGTATTATTTTTTATAGAGCACCAGAGGTATGCCTGGCATTTTAATGACAAGCAAGAGTATAGCCTTTAGCCCTAGCAATCTGGTTAAATTTCAGTTTGGAAAACTGAATCCTGCTTACCTGCAGTTGCAGGTAAATAAATATTCATCTTTTCATCTTCTCTTAAAAACCATGTTCCGTTACTGTGTGCTGTTAAACACTTGCTGCATTCCACCCTAGAGTACCTCAGTTCTGGATTAAATGATTACTTGCCTAGAGAGTTAGTAAAATCAATTTGTAAGGCACTAGGTGATCCTTCTGAATGGAAAGCATGTTATAAATTAAAAGGGGCAAATTGTGCCTCTGGACATGCACTCACCCCAATGAAGTCAGTGGAAGCCTTGCAGTGTACATCCGAGGGCCAAATTTGTTACTGAATTCAAATTCTGGCAAACCTTCTGCAAGCAGTTCTATAAATCCAACATGTTTATTGCCCCACGGGGAAGGACCCTCCTCTAAGTTGCTCACTGGCCAATCTGTCTCCAGGAATATGTAGTAATGGATTGTGGGAAGACTGAGGAGTAGCTAGAATACAGCCACTGGATCATCTATTGTTGATTCAGTGGCCCCAAGCCCTGCATAAACTAGGCAGGCTATGATGATTGCTACTGCTGGTTCATAGTTAGGTGTAGAAGCTGCCATGAACTAGTTGCAAAATAGCACCCTACCTCCTAGTTGTGGGGAGAGATTTTATCTTTCTCCATCTGCCATTACGTTATCTCACACAGATTTCATGGGCAATGTGAATTTCACCCTATCCTACAATTGTAGCTCAGGTCCCTGATGTTGTTTGTAGAACAAGTATGGCACTGCAGTTAGGAAAATCACTATAACCACCTGCCCTGGTTTACTGGGTTTATGAATGTTAATGGAACACGATTTGGAGAACTGAAGGAGAAAATGCAATATGAAAAGGAAAGTGAAAAAGGGCTCTGAGGAAAGCATGAAGGCTCTGTGCAAAGAAATTGAATCTTTTCACAGCCAAAAATGGATCTTGTTTCTGGTTCTGTAATGAAATAGTTTTCCTAATACTGTGTGACCTGAATTTCTCCCTGCTTTCTGGGTGCTATTCCTTGATGTACAACCTGTATTTTCTCAAGTCAGCATTTGATGATGGATGTCAAAATACAGGCCATGTATTATGCATATAGCATTACCGATTTAAGGTGTTTACTTGTCAAATTGGAGAAATTCAAAAATGTCACATTCACTGAATCTGCACAGCTGTCACTTGTAGTTTTCCATGCCTTTAAATGAAAGTTCTGATAAAACAGTTTAGTTTTCCTTCGCCTTTTTTTGGTGGAAGACAATAAACAGCATCTAAAATTTATGCTGTGGGTGGGGAGGCAGGCTGCAAACAGGTTGGAATAAGGACTTTGGAATAAGGACTTTGTGGGTGGTGGATAGACAGATACAGACCCCAGATCCCTACATTTTCTGATTTTTCTTTTGCTAAAAATATTCCAGATTTTTTAGTTGTTTAAATAGCCAATTCAAATTGAGCACTGTCAGGGAAATGAAGTTGTGGACATTTCTCACATCTTCCAAAACCATAGAGGAAGAAATATTACAGCTCAGGATTATTTTTCATTTGTGGAGAAAACAAAATCCCTTTAACGTGTCCCGCATTTCATACAGAATGCACTGTGTGTGCAATGTGCAATCACAGAGCTCCTGACAGTCTGTGCCTAACAGAAATGCCACCTTTACGTCAATCTCCTAACACCATCCTAAGACGACAAATATTTGAGGGGTTAGAGAGAGGTGGCTACAAATAGCCTTCTAGGGAAGAGTGGAGGGAGTCATGCATTTAGAGGCATGTTACACTGAGTCTTTACATTTTCCTCTGAGCTGGCAGGATGCTACCGACTAGTTCTACAATCTGAAGGGCCTGATTCATTGAAAAATGTGTAGTGGACACCGTGTCGGACTGGGAAGAAAAGCCTCTAGGGAAAGGAGAAAAGAGAGGCCTCTGATGATGGTCTGGACAGTGGTGTCTCATGCTAACACTGTCCACCACCAATGCCTCAAGGGCTTGTGGGGAGAAGGTTAGCCTTTTCTACCCTCAAATCAGTGTGAAGTTGGAAGGCTTGGTGCCAGTCACGCTGAGCTGTGATTCTCCAGTGGCCTCAGCTGCATTGGTGCACATACAGAGCTCTCTCAGTGTCTGTTGCCACTTGTGTTTTGAAGAGCTGGTGTGTTGCATCATGCCCCCTACTGCATAACATGGAAGTATACAAAACACTAACAGAGGAGTCAACAACAGAAGGCAGCTCAATTCTAGCGTCCACGTCTCCAGAAGTACCATTCCTGCCTCTTGCAAAGTGCAGAGCCAGGACTCTCAATCCATAATTAATCTGCCTGCTCTTTTGAGTCTTGGGAGGGCTCCTGGGAAAATTCTGGGTAGGCCAGTGTGAGTCAGAGCATGGCATAGAGCTGTGATGCAACAGGGAGTGGGTGAGGTAGCATATTAATAAAAGTTCTTGAATGGCTGTCACTCATTCGTGGGATTTGGCCATGATAGAGACTATCATACAGAAATCAACTGGGCATGCAATCTGCTTTTTTGGCACAGTAGAACTGATTTCAATACACTGAGTAAGGAATACATTGAGTGAAACTAAACACTCTGACATACCCAGCACTTCCACCTGCCTTGAAGAAATCTGTTTGTTATCTGAATCACCATTGTTGACTGGAATTGTATTGCTGTGCTTAAATTCCCCCGTGGGAATTTGTGCCTTTCAAATCTGTGGAAGGCATTGAGACAACTTGTCCTCTCCTCCCCATCACCATTCAGAGCCCCTCTCCACAGTTTTCCTTCCCTTTTACATAGCCCATCCTCACAGGCCTTGTGCTGCTGGGAGCTTTCTTCCAGATGGCAGGGTACAGTTCATGCTGGAGTATCCTAGAGGATCGCAAGAGTTAGAGGTGGAGAAGGCCCACCATAACAAATTCATCTCCCTGCAGAGGTAGGATGATCTCTCAGCAATATTTGTTGCATCAGAGTGTGTGTCAAATTGACACCACACTTGATCTTAGCCATAAGGCCAGAGTAGCTTCAGAACAAAACAGAGTTCTATCCCCCTTCCCAGAAAGGCGAACCCAGTAATTCCTACAGCTCTCCCAAGCCCTGCTAACTCAGAAGCACAGAGCTGAACTGGAGACCCATTCCATGTGCTCCCATGTGCCAAACCGGTGTTAGACAATTGAGGGGCCAAAATTAGTGCACTTAATATTTTAAAATATTTAAAGCTAGTTTGATAGTGGTGATTATTACTATCAAGAAAGGGGCAAAAATCCAGGTAAGGGACTGACATCGCATTTTGAAGTGATATACATTTATGTAAGGATTCTCTGATGTCTTATTAATTCTGCCAAAATTGAGGACGGGGCAGAGGGAAATACAGTATCAACTCATTTTGGAGTCAGTAGCAGATGAATGTATGAATGACTTCAGCTGAGTGGACCAATTTGCATGCTGTGAGAAGGCAATGGAGTTACAGCAGGAATGAGTTTGACTCTTAGTGATTGGGAGGGGTGAGGGTTGGTGGCATTTGGATGATTCAAGTCTAGTCCAGGTGAGTAATGACAGAAGGTCAAAAATCTGTTTGTGGATCTGAGACATAAAGTCAGAGTCTGGGCAGAATTTGCCCAAAGTCTAATGGCTGTTCAAAATTTATAATGCAAAATTCGTTTGGCCTCATGGCTAGACAAATAGTTGCTTAAAAAATACTGCCATCGCAAGGGGGAAATGGAGTCCTTGAGCCTAACTCTTGCACTGCAACAACGGTGATATTAAATACATGTTTCCATTCTTCCTACTTTTTTTGAAGCAGGGAGACTTAAGTATATATCGTAACAGTGAATTTCCAGGCCAACTTTTTGTTAGAGTTTTTTGGTTTACTTAAATCATTGACAGATTCAGCACTTACATTGTAACTCCAGCTTAGCAAAATAACGTGGCTGGGTATTACCTTTTTATGTTTATGAATTGTTCAGTGGCAGGTGTTCCTGCAGAGCTTGCAGGGACTCAGGTGGAACATGCAAGTTGCATAAGGAGGCCCTTGCTCCACCCCAGACCATCCCTTCACCTCCCATGTAGCTCTTCCCCACTGTCTCTCTATGCCATCCTCTCTCCCAGTGTGTGCACCTCTCTCCTGTTTATCTCCAGATGTCCTTCCCCTCTCCCCCACCCACCTGCCATATGTCAGTCTCTCTCCCCGGTTCCTCATTCCTTTCAGATTAGTGCTTCCTGCTCTTTCTGACTCATGGAAGCCATGAGGATTCTGCAAGATCAGAATGGAAATTAAGAATTCTGTGGGCTTCATAATGCTTTTGGAAACATCTTAAAGTAACTAAATCCTTCAGCGGCCTTTGCAGCTCCACCCTAAATCTTCTGAATCAGACCCATCAGCTCCTGAAAGCTGCAAACATGGTGGTTTAACAAGCCTTAGAATGCGGTGAGAGGCTTAAGTAAGGATGCTTATTACTAGTGTTCTTTGAAATACTGATCACAAGAAAAAACCCCTCAAATATTAATGGCTTTGGATTTTGTTTCCAGTTTTTTTTAACAATGATCACATTTTGCACTGAAAGTTTTAGCATGTTTTGATGTAAAAACTGCTGTTTCACAAGTTTAGCAGAAGTGCGTCGTCTTTAATTGTTGCCAGCTGTCTTATACCATAAACTGCCTGTAATATTGATAGGCTTGAGGGGCTGTATTTCAGCAATACTGAATGTTAAGTAAAACAGCTTATTGTTCAGAGAGCTACAGGTAGAAATCTGCTATAAACTATCACAGGAGATACGTGCAATGTTAACATCTCGCGGCATCATTTGCATCAGTCTGAAATGACTTGTTACATTCTTTTCTGTTTGCCTTGCAACTTAAAGTTCAACCTGTAACTGTCTGACATTCCTTCCTTAGGGTTTACACCACCAGGAATGGATAGGTCATCTCCAGACAACAGTCCGGTCCATGGTCTGTTACGTCAACCCTCAATCACAACAGGAGCCAACATACCTATTATAACAGAGCTAGGTAAGGAAAACAAAAACACGCCTTTCATGTCCATTCCCATATATTTTTCCATCTCCTTTTACAGGCGTCAGGAGAGTTACCTATTTCATAGCCAATGACACCATGTTCACTCTTCAGTTAACTGTTTTGATTTACTCTTGCTGAGGAAACATTAGGGGAAACTACTTCTACTTGGATTAAACAACTAAATTAGTTCTTCCCTATGTGTTTTCACCTTGTGTGTTCGTAAACACACACTACATTAGGCAAGAGGTTGTTCTTAGTGTATTGTACCAAGTAGGCAGGGTTCTTTGGGACAATCTCTTTTTAAAAAAAAAATGTTATGTAAGATGCCAGCAGACTTCCCTTCTGCATTTGAAAGGCTACTTGGTTAACCCTTCATGCTCCAAAACTTGTTTAATATTGCATAGTCACTGCATAGTGACATGACACTTGTCACCCTTGAGAATGGAGCAACTGGTTACCTGGGTATGATTTCCACTCTAGCTATAGATATTCGTCTTGTCAAGTTGTTGTGATGTGAAGTGCAGAAGCTTTCATGGCAAATACAAACTTGATTTGTGGTCCTTTGTCCTTTTTATTTTTCAGGTTTTTTTTTAGAGCCTTACCTGTCTTACTCCCTTATTTTATTCTCTTTCTGTACTTTCTTTCCCCCCTAAATACTTTACTTATTAGCTAAGCCTGGCAAACTTCTGCCTTTGGTTTCAATCAGTCAGGAAAAAAACAGTGGAACCCACATACTAATGATAACTGAACTGGGTAAGAAGTGCCTTTTTCCTTCACATCACTGTCTTCTTTTTTGTTGTTGGTGGTGTTGTTTCTACCATCATCAGCTTTTTCTTTATTTATCTGGCTGTATCAGAGGGGCTACCCTCATGGCACTGCTTTGAATGTGTTTTATTTGTGGTTCTAGTAGAAATTGACTGTCTTGTTCTGGCCTTTCTTAATGATTTCTTTTTCACGCAGCATCAGTAAACCTTTGATCACACTCGTCTGACCTGCCGGCTGTTTCCATAGCATCTTCTCACCAATTCATTTTCTTTGGCCTGGGTGCCTCTCTCTCTCTCTCTTTATTTCAGTCTATTGTCAATTTGACTGACATGTCTTAGCTCTCACAGGAAGTAAAAAAAGAAATAAAACATTTTGAAGAAGAAACCCGGGTATCATACCTTCCCTTAAGCAGTTTGTTTGTTTTGTTTTTTGTGGGTAGACCTTTTCTCAGGCTCTGAAGCTAAAGCAGCTTAGCTTCTATGCTGCACTCTCTCAATAAAATGAGATTTCACAAGGGGCTCCGAGCAGTGTTTGATTAGCATTTCCTGTGGTGCAGTGCTGTGCTCTTAAACCTACCCCCATCTAGCCAGGAGATCTTTCATAAAAATCATAGTAGGCTAATTTGCATCAGGAAGATAAAGATATAGTCAGGCTTAAACTGCACTTGTAGAATTCACAGAAGATTTGGTGTAAGTTGGAAACTGACACTCCGTACTGTTAGAAAGTCTGTGTCAAAGTCAGGTATTAGTCTTACAAGTCTGCCAGATAGAAGTGGAAAAAGAGTACTGCTGTTCATAGTTCCTCTCCTCAGCTAGCAAATTAAACAAAGGCACAGTCTTTTCAAAAAGTATATTTTGAAACGGTACAACAGGCTGTCAGTGGTATTTTGCTTAGGAGCCCAAGAATAAATTGACAGACACTGGGCAAGATATAGTGTAGATGGAGCTATTTACCAGATGACATTCATCTGCATCATATAATGTAACCAGTGACTGTATATAGCTCTGAGAGATGTTACTTTTTAGTTGCTATGGCAAGGGATGTATGTTCTCTTGCCAACTCTGCTACTGACTCCGTTTGACCTTGGTTATGTCACAGCCAATTGGTGTCTTAATTTACCCATCTGTAAAATGGGGATAACAATGCTTATCTTCTTCACAGGGCTGTTATATTTTAGGCATTGTTCATACTTGCAGAGCTCTTTGAGGACCTTGCATGACAGTGCAATACTATACTAGTGGAAGATAGCTGTTGAATAATGGGTAGTTTGATCAAATAAAAGTAACTGTCTCAAGACGATAGTTCAGAATGGCAGGCCTATTTCTAGATAGAGAGTGATCCAGTTGAAGTCAATGGCACTAGGATTTGGCTTTTTAGGAACATTCTTGTCTACTAAAAAAAAATACAGGGAATTTCCAATAACGACGAGACAAGAAAAGTATTCAAGATCCACACTATCAGATGCTGCAAAACTGATAATTTCTCAGACCTGGATGGGAATTGAAATTAATTTGTCATTTATTTTTTAATAATTTCAAAAGCATCTTTGGTGACACAAGTGATCAGTCTGCACTTTTATGACTGAGGAGTCCTACTGTGGAAAAGAAATGACTTCATCAAATATCATCTGCTTAATAAGATTTCTATCAAGCTGTGTGTAGTGGCATGGGTCAGGAGTGGGGAGATGAACTCTGGCAACTCGATGAGAATCTAAATGTCAAATGTTTCTTTTCTGAAAAGCAACCTGATGTGGATACTTCCTCACACTGAATGGAATAGAATTCATGGCTTGGGTGGTGAGGCTGTGGCTGAAACCATTTGAAACCACACTGTAGTATAGTATAGAATTGCAGTGTATTGCTTTTTTATGACAAGCTTGAGGCAAGCTGAATGGGGAGCTTCTCTCTTTGGAGCTGCAATTGCATTACCACAGTTCCATCAGAAAAGAAGCACAGTAGCAGATGTCTTTGGGTTGAACCAATGTTTTCGTGGACAAGGTTTATGTCACAAAGTGGATCTGACATTAAGAGTTCACTGCATATCCGCACAACCCTACTCATTGTATCTTGCCTGTACGGAGGGAAAATGTATGTCAGCACCATGGCAAGTGAGCAGGTGGTGCCAAGAAAGTCGTTTTTATGGCACAGGGATATTCACCTTTCATACAAGCAAAATAAGGATTAACAGATTTTCTTAAGTGCATATTTTCACATCCACTTTGATTTCATTTTAAGTAATGTCAAAGACACGAGTCTGTGTTTCCAGACACATGCCATTGCTTTTTCTTTCTGATTGTGTCATATGTAAGGTCACATGCTGCAGGCTAAGAAGCATATTATGATATTTTTATATTATTATTTTCAGTAAACGATTCAAACGTTCAGTTTTTGGACCAAGATGATGACGACGACCCAGACACAGAATTGTATCTTACACAGCCATTTGCATGTGGAACTGCATTCGCCGTCAGTGTATTGGACTCCCTCATGAGCGCTGTAAGCAAATCAAAACTTTCTCCCCCTTCCCCATCAGACAGACCATAGGAGGCTGATGCTGTGTAGCAGCTCCATTGCCACCATGCAGCCTGACGGACAAGATACCTTCCCCTACCTAGACCTTCATACGCCATGATTACTTTGGATGTGGACTGAGCCCCAGTTCCCCTCAAAGGTATTTAAGCACATAACTCCTGTTGTCCGTCGCAGTTATGCACTGAAAGACCTTTGAGGAGCTGGATCTGAGACTCTGTAACAACTAATCTCTCAGATCTTAGGGTATGTATATTGGCCTGAGACTTCAAAAGCAACTGGTGATTTTGGATGCACACTATTTTCAGAAAGAGTTGAAAGTCTGATGGCTTGCAGCAGGGTGTCTCAAATTGGCCTTCCAAAAATGGAAGCACTCAAAATCACTAGTCACCATTGGAAATTTAGGGTATTATCTCTAAAATATGAAAATTGTCTTCTTGCAGAACATAACTACCTTGACAGTTCAGTATTTTACACATTTTACAGCTTCTAATTATTTTTTGTACTCCATCAATAAAGTGATAGTTCACAGTGACGGGTAACAAACAAAAGCTTTAGATTGGATCAGGTCAGCGGACAAAAGCTTGAATGCTTCTGCAAAGCTTAATTCAACCAGTTGACCCTCGTGGGTCTGCAAAAGTGGGCTAGAAATCAATGGAAATGGGATTTCTTGAAAGAGTGGCTACGTCACAGTTCTGGGTCTGAATTTGCATGAGCGTGCTGTCAGGTTATTCTGATATTCCTGCTTGTATCTGGGACCAAGAATGCAAAAATATAAAAAAATTGACGTGGGTGTTTCAAAGTTTGAAATTGGTTAAAAACCAAACAGATTTGTATAAGGTTTATTTTGAGTTTCAGTGGAGTTCAAAGTAAGCAGCTATTTTGCCTAAACCAGTTTTTGGCCATCCGTAGCAAATAAATAGTCTTCCTCTTTTATTTTAAAATCAGACAGAGAATACTCTCTCAATACAGACAGGGTATCAGTCTCTACTTTAACCTAGAGCGGGTCCATTTTTAACTGGTTTAGGCACTCGCTTAAAGGACTTCCATTTAAAAAACTTTGTACACTTTATGTGCCAGCAGATTAATGTTGGAGCAGCTTTTTGCAAATGGACCAAATGGAAAGCAAGCAGTCTAAGGGTTTTTATAGAAACACTGGGAAACTAACACTAGCAATTACCAGATTGATACTTTTCAATGGAACTAGACCTCTCGGGGTAGATGACTAAGATGCAAGAGGGATGTAATTAATGGAGGAGAATATGAAATGTTGTTTATGATAAGCTCCATTAAGCAGGCCTGTTATACTATACCTCTGATTTTAAAGTGTTCAAATGAGTATCCCTTTGGAGACCATGTTTACTCCTGATTATCCTAACTACAGCTGTTTCAGAAGACTCTTTTGTTGCAGTATCAGCTGTTATAATATGATTACTTCGTAAATTATGTTTTTTAATAATGTCTTTCGTGATCCTGATCAGGGTCTGTTGAAAAAAGTTAGTTTCCAGCTTTGATTTAAAAATAGAATTTAAATAAATCAAACTCACTAAAGGCCTCCTGGTTTACATGTGCTAAAGACAGTTTGTCCATGTGAAAGGCAGTTGTGCATATAAACTGATATTTGCCTGTGCGACCAATATGCTGTTTGTGCACATAAAATCTGTTTTGTGGGTAAAAATGACTGTGCATGCCTAAAGCTGTAGATGCAAACTTAGGGGCTGGTTGAGAGTCCTTTGTAAAGTTGAACCTAAACTTTCAGAATATCCTATTGAATTTAGTTTCATGATCAGTTGGCTTAAGCCCCAAATAATACGGGAGGTGGGCAAAGCAATATTTTTTTTATAAGAGCCAACTCTAACCTTCACCTAAAAGTGAAACCAAACTTTTGATGGTTCAAAAAAGTTCAGTTAACCTTTTTTTTTTTTAACTTAAGTGGGCTGTAGCCCACAAAAGCTTATGCTCTAATAAATTTGTTAGTCTCTAAGGTGCCACAAGTACTCCTGTTCTTCTTTCTACACTTCTGTCCATTCCAGCCGCAGCTTGAGATAGATGTAATGAGGTAATCTATTTTCATGGTATTTCATTCCAATAAGGAGCATGAAGTAACAGTAATCTTATGAGATACCTTGTTCTTGTGAGTCAGTCATCAGCCAAATTTTGAAGACTTGACACATTGAGAAAGTCCACATAAGTATCCAACCAAACTCTAACTCTAAATTTTCACGAATAAAAGTTGTATGGGTAAAAGGTTTAGCATTTCCATGTAATACCTTGGAGCTCTTAAATATGAAGGTCCCAAACGGGAATTTTGAAAGCTGTTCACCTTACCAGACTAAGAAGATTCCTGAATGAAACTGAGTTTTAGTATTAGGAGGACACTGAGGAACTCTATCATATTTTAATGATAAATCAATTTATCAAAAGCAGCTAATGAAAATATGATTGAGAGCTTTCTAGACAATGGAAGCCAAAATATAGAATCATAGAATCATAGAATATAAGGGTTGGAAGGGACACCAGAAGGTCATCTAGTCCAACCCCCTGCTCAAAGCAGGACCAATTCCCAGTTAAATCATCCCAGCCAGGGCTTTGTCAAGCCTGACCTTAAAAACCTCTAAGGAAGGAGATTCTACCACCTCCCTAGGTAACGCATTCCAGTGTTTCACCACCCTCATAGTGAAAAAGTTTTTCCTAATATCCAATCTAAACCTCCCCCACTGTAACTTGAGACCATTACTCCTCGTTCTGTCATCTGATACCATTGAGAACAGTCTAGAGCCATCCTCTTTGGAACCCCCTTTCAGGTAGTTGAAAACAGCTATCAAATCCCCCCTCATTCTTCTCTTCTGCAGGCTAAACAATCCCAGCTCCCTCAGCCTCTCCTCATAACTCATGTGTTCCAGACCCCTAATCATTTTTGTTGCCCTTCGCTGGACTCTCTCCAATTTATCCACATCCTTCTTGAAGTGTGGGGCCCAAAACTGGACACAGTACTCCAGATGAGGCCTCACCAATGTCGAATAGAGGGGAACGATCACGTCCCTCGATCTGCTCGCTATGCCCCTACTTATACAATATCAACCTTCCAAGTCAACATTTAAACATCAGGTCCATTTAGATTTCACTGATTTCTTTTCTTCTGTAGCTCCCTTCCCAAAATTTCCATTTAATCAGGTGTCTAAGCATCCCCATCCAAAGACTGTCTCATAATTCAACCCCTGCTGTTTGTTGCTTCACTTATTGAAAGGCTAATCCTTTTATTTATTACAGGCATTCCCAGAGTAACAGATAGCAATGTTGCAGACACCACACCATCGCTTTATTGTGCAACCACTAGAAAGATAAATTAGAAGAGAGAATAATTGTGTTTATGCTTAGATAACTCACAATGGAGAATTACAATTTAGAAACATTTCCTTTGAGCACAGTCAGTTTATTCTTCACAAAGTAAATGTGATTATTTTCCCCTCTAAATATCTAGCTACCGATGACATATCTGTTCATGAACTCTTTCTTCTGCAAAAATTCTTTGTCAAACTTCATTCATTCTTAAGTGGTTAAGATGGGGCACCACCATCTGAAGTCAGGGAAATGACTGTGATGCCAGAAATAGAGAATTCTGACTTAAGGGAAAGAAACAGAAGAAATACTAATCAGAGTGAATCCCTATCAGAATGATTTGCCAGTCTTCATTTGCTATACCAATGCTGTCTCCTCTTCCTACTGCTTTGCTGATGTGGGCAGGGTCGCTCTCTCCTCCACTCCTGGAAGAGTTTCTGCTGTCTAAGCTATAGGGTGCAAAAGGAACTCTCCCTGCTCGTCTAGCTCTCAGATGGGTGAGATGTCCATCCTTCCTTTTCTCCTGTGCCTCTATTGGGAAGAGGAGGTGCTCCACATTTTTTTCTCTACCCAAAAACAGGCATCCTGTCATTTCCCACACCACCTGATCCACTGGCTTTGTAGTATCCACTTTGCCTGACAGTTTGCTTTTTGTGACCCAACCTCTACTTCTACTGCCTGAATTCAAGCATTGATCCCAAAATATTTTACAGGACTGTGGGACCAGCCTGAGTCATACTTTCACTACACTAGCTCCACAGCAATTCTCTAAGTCATTTGTCACATGCCAGCGCACTTTGAGGCTTGAGTAAGGTCTTCAAGATTACATCAACTATATTGATTTCATTACTAAATTGACTGCAACTAAGTCGATGGGGAAAACCCATCAAGCTAGTAGGAGTGTAATTGGCGTTTGTTGTATTGCATGGTTGGGCAAAAGCTATATTAGCAGAGGAAAGGCTGGGATTAGCAGAGGAATAGTAAAGGGGGGGTTGCAGGAGGTACATATTGTTTTCTCCCACTGTGCCCTCTGCTGTGAAGTTTTTCATTGTGAAAGGGGGAAGTAGTGCACCTTCTTTTTAGTTGCTTTTTAGAATTAAATTTTACCCCTTGATCTCTACAGAATGTAATTAAATTCTTAGTAATGCAAACCCACTGCACTGGACGCAACACACGTATGTGAACTGCTCACATTCTCCTCTCACTTACTCAGTGGAAGTCCGGCATATGATGATAATGCCAGTGTAAAACAGGGGTAAAGTAAGAGAATAATAAGGCCCATCCATCTGTGTTTCTTTCTTATCTTTAGCAACAATGGAACTATGCACAAGACAACTTCATTTACAGATTAAACCTTCCTCTGCAGGTTTCTTAGCATCTTCAGGAAACACTGGGCGTGCAGACAAGAATGGTTTAGTTATTGATAATGAGGAAGTACTTTTTACTTTACTGAACATTTCACCTGGTACAGATTTTAAGTATGACAAAAGCTATTCTTAAACAGGGCTGCCTAACCTTTGCTATGTCTCTGGAATAGACATCAGCCTCTGCTAGAGTTTTTCATTATATTTTGTTCTAAGTATTTGATTTGCCTTACATCTACAACCAAATGCAAATGCATGGAAAGC